AGGACAGAGACGGTATCGGAGGTGTAGGGCTAGGTGAGATGGGCATGGGCCCACCTCAACAGGTCAGTCTTGTTTTGAAGACTTGTCTCCTATTTCATAGGAGCAGATCATACATTACAGTATTCCTGTCAGGTTCCTACTGGCTAACTCAGCTGCAGCCTGGATCAGTTGAAATAAGATAAACTACACAGACTTTATTGTTGTTGTCGACTGTCAGAAGATGAAATCAGTGATACTTTAAGTTACGGTGCAGTTTATTCAGGTCCCATACTGACTTTTACCCCATTCTGGTGGAAATTTGGATCTGATCAGAGTTTTTGACAGAAGCACTGATTGGCCTACAAAATCAGAAAGATGAGTTTTAGGCATATGATTAAAAGTGGTTATGTTTTGTCAGGTATTGGCATTAAATTGAAAATGATTATATTTAATTTGAAGTTAGAGATTGTTGGGGTTATGGATTGATGGCTCATGTTATCCATGCCAATATACCAACCATTTGACATACTTTTTTGCACCTCTGTCTATCTTCAATGTGCAAATTAGTTTGAGGGGTTACTGAGTGACAGAAAGCCTCTATATGTGCTCAACTGTCTAGTGTGTGATTCCTTTTCGAAGTCATGACTGAGAAAATCGATATCTGTGTACCTCTGTCTCTCTCTCTGTGCAAACAAAGTTGTAGCAGTGGTTCTACAGCATACACATCAGTTAGTCTTCTTTTTCAGGTGGGCAGGGTCTGGCCATCGTCCTACAGAGCCCTCATCAGTGGCCTCTCCTGTCTTACACGCCTTGATGACTTCACCTGTGAGTGGATTGGCTCTGGATTCTTTTCTGATGTCTTCAAGGTGGGTGACGATCAGTTACTACTTGTTTTCTTATGGTTTTTTTATTTATATTTATTAGGCATCCACCAGTCTGTTCCTGGCTTTCTTCTGCCCTGCTCAATTTCATCTTTGCTCCTTTCCATCACTTTGTTTTGTTCCTGTATCTTTTTATTTCACACCTCTATTCATGCATCCATCTGGACTGTTTTATAATAAGCCAGACAAGCTTTCATGGCCCACATACTGCATATGTTGGAATTTCATTATGTCTTCACAGTAATATGCCATTTATTGCACATCTGTGTAATAGTATATCTTTATTGCACTGGTGAACTGGTGTGACATTCAGTTTCCACAGTGTCTCTCTCTTGTCAGGCTGTAACTTGGGGTTGGGCTGATTAACAGTACTGCTGATAGTGTCTGACAGCTGTTGGTGATGGTTGAATGTCGTGCATGTGATTCATTGATGATCCAAGCTGATTTTAAATGTCTGTATTGGAGAAAATCAAGACATATTTTAATAGATTTTTTTTTATTAGCCTTATAAAGTCCTTTGTTCATTGTAACCCATAGTGTCCTGGGTATGCCAGCTGTCAAAAACAACTGACTGTGGGCTGTGGAAACAGTGGAGCTTATTCATAATGCACAGCACTGCAAATGAGTGAACTAAAGAGCAACACAAATAAACAGCAGCCAGCAGTTTCAGTGAGTGATGGCCACATTTACAGCTTAAATTAGTGTGTGAAATGGGTATGACCACCCGGTTTAAGCAGCAATGAGCTGTTTGGACAGGTTATGATGGAGGCTGTACGTTGTCTAGCATGTCTGGGTTAAACTGGCTAAAGATGTGTGTATTGTTGTAGCTTTATTCTTTAAGAACATGTAGGCTAAATATCACATTGTGGTTCTGTGATAGGTAATACTCATTATTAATTGACTCAAATTGTAATTTAATAGCAACAGCACTGTAAACATCTTGCTCCCAAAAGAAATTCCATTTTGCCAGGCACCCCCTAAGCCTCTTGGGAAATTCCTGTAACTAATATTTTATGTTCTGTGAGAAAGGAATCCATAGGTAGGAGAGAGATGAAAGTGGTAATGAAGTAGAGGAAATGTCAGCATACTGAGTCAAGTTTTAATGATGAGAGACAGGAATGAAAGGGTGGTGAAATTAATGGTGACAGTGGAGGAGAAGCAAGAGGGGAAAAAGCTTGTAATGGTGGATAGACTGTAGAAGGGGATGAAAAATGGGGTTTGGTGGAGGTTTTATGAGTTTACTGAGTACACGAGATGTGGGCAGACGAGGAGACGAAGGGGAGTTTTGGATGAGAGTGATTTACGGGTTTGCTAGAGCTTGAGTTGGGAGGAGGTGGACAAAATTAAGAAAGGGTTTGTAGGAGAAAGACATTATGGTTACAATATGTTTCCCAGAAATAAGCAGTGGTGAAAAGATCAGAGAGGAGAGTGGAGAAAGAAAGGAGAATGGTGGAGGAGAATGATATGGGTGAAGGAGAGGACTGCTGATGACAGTGTGTTGGAGTCCACAGTGCAAAGAAGAAAGATGGGGATCAGGAATAAATGCAGATGGGGGATGTGAAGAGTGAGGAATCGGGGGTCGGAAGAGGACAGACGGATGTGGGGGAGGAGGCCTTCAGAAGAGTGGCCATCTGTTGTTCCTGCTGTCCTGTGGTGGAGACTGTCAGCTCTTATAGCCAGGGCCCTCCTTTTGAACTTGAACAGAGAGATTTTTGTGTCTGTACGACGTGCGGACAGACAGAGGAGCAAACACAGAGGGCTCCCCAAAACCGAACCAGTCTGCATGATTCTGTGTAGTTTTTCTACTAGGCGATGTACTGTAGGTACTGTTGGTAACCTTTAGAGATGATTACATATTCAGTATGGAGCCTGTTTTGTCTAGCAGTATATCTCACTGACCTTTGTTTTTAATGGTTCCTATGTAATCTCTATTGACTTTGTCCAATCTGTCTGTTTCCTTTCCTGCTGTAAGTGACACTGCCCATCCATTGTGTCACCAGTGTACTGTGGCTATGATGATGTAGGAGGGTCAAAGAGCCATTGTTAGAAGATGATATAAAGCTGCCCACTATTGTAGTGAATATGGCTCTTATAGTCTCTTTGGGACCATGTTTTCAGGGTTGTCCTAACAAGAATTTCTGTCTCCAAATCATGTACCATAATGCTTGTCTAATGATACGTAGTTAATCGTACAGTATCTAATCATATATTACTTTTGTTTCCGCACATCTTGGCATATTATTTGTGTACATTAGCTGTATTTAAACTTCCCATTTTATGTGGTGTAGTTTAAAATGGTCACGATGTTGATTTATAATGCCATAGCTCTCATACTGAGTGGGCTCTGTTTTGCATGTATGTATGACACTTGCAAATTTTTTCCTGTGTTATATTCCCTGTCTGGCGATCTTGGTAATGTTTGAATAGCCTCTTTATTGCTGAAGGCTGTCTGTCTTTTCAAACCACTTTATTAAAGCCTGCATCATGGTCTAAATATCTTCTTTCAGGAAGTGAACAAGCAAGTATAGATAGATCAGTTTGCAGCAGTTATGCGGTGTGCTGCCTTCTGTGGTTTGCAGGTTGATATTTCCTATTTGCTTGCATGTGTGAGTGTATTCAGAAGAACTTAAGTTCTTGGTAATTAATGTACTGCATTGTGGTATCTGAAACCTGTGGTGTGAAGATTAAGGGCACCATTCTGTTTCAAAGAGGCTAATGAGGCAGTGATAAGCATGCAGCATGGGGCTCCCTGTGTTTAATAGTAACTAACATTTGTTGCAAGAAATAGTTTGTGTTGTATTATGGGCTCAGTACAGAGATGAAATGCGGTAAGTGCTCTTCTAGAAGATTTTTCACACAACACTGCTTATCCTTAGTCACAAAGGATGTGAAGCACGTGTGAAGACTATCTATCATTTCTTCTTTTTGCTACCACACATCATTTAGACAGTGTTTTAAATAATTGTCCCAGTTTTTTCAGTTTTGTCATTATGTTTTAATTGTGAAACCATAGCTACTTGGGATTTAATGTAACCAGACAATGGCAACAAAATTGTTTCCTAGTCTTGAGAAACAAGATTATTTCAATACACCTGTTGTATATCACTCAAGGCATGCTGAGAAAGGCTCCACCCAGCCATGGAAGGATAGATGATGATGCCACCACTTTCTAGCAGTTAGATGGAAACTAAAATCCCAGTGCACAATAATGCAAAATGGATTGTGCAGCTCTGGCCTCACACATATGCTCTGTCATGGCTGGTCAGCAGTGGCTAACCTCATTTCACTTCTCATTTATATGCTGCCTTCCTTTTTTACTTCCTCTCTTTTCTTGCTACACAAGCCAGATATGTTTTTTCACATAACCACTGTAGAATAGCAGTGTTTCAAACTGTTCAGTGAACCAAGCTGAAAGTTCTAGAAATTGTGTTAATTTAAAGCTTTATGCAGTCTCAGCTTTTGCAGCCAGTTATTATAGCCCCGATACTGGGATTAAGTCATTGTTTGGTTGTATTTGCAGCATGTTGACATGTGGCATCATTTTACTGTTTTACAGGTACGTCATCGAGCCTCAGACCAAGTTATGGCTCTTAAGATGAACAAGCTCAGCAGCAACAGAGCAAACATGTTGCGAGAGGTCCAACTAATGAACCGGCTTTCACATCCAAACATACTCAGGTTGGTTACACAATAAATAATCATTATAAAAAAAACTTTAAGCCTGACTTACAAAATGGGGTTATTATTTTGAATTTTATTTTGTTCTATGGGGAAGAACCACCAGAAACCAACTTGAAAGCCTTATTAATGTAATGTATAAAACAAAATTAGCAACATAATATGGTTAATCTCCACTTTTATTATATGTTGTCATATAACAGGAGCTACTTAGTGAAATGTGATTCCCCCTGGTATAAGAAACCGATTAGTCCTGTTGGTTATGAGTTCCTTTAGTCCATTGAATGGTCAAATCCAAAAAGCCTGTTATGTATCAGTTTATTATATGACATTTAGCAGTAAGGTGCCAGTATCTTGGAACAAGCTCACTTTCATACATTCACAATAGGCTTATTTTAAGGCTTAAGATATTAGGTCACTTAGGAACTGCTAATAATAAGTAAAGGGTAAATCCCCATTATTTCCTCACAGATAATGTCTCACATTTTATTTCCTCTAACACTGGTCTCTTTGGTAATATATATTTTCTCACACTGTTTGCCTCTGCATTTACCTCTTACCTTTATCTTCTCTCACTTGCACTTGAGTCTGTGGTTGTGTCCTGCTTCCTTTGGGTTTTCTAGAAACTGTGTCAAGCACAGAACCTATTAACAATGGATTTTCAAAATGCTAGCTCCTGTTGCAGCTACAGCAGCTGCCTAAAGGGGAAAGCAAAGGAGCGGCATCAGGCTGTGAACAACCATGGTTTTTTTTTTTTTTTTTGAGACTCTGATCAATGATTTGTCTAACCCTTTACACCTGGATCTGTGGTCCTCAAGTGACACTTTATGTTGTGTGTTTTGTGTTGACTCAAATTTTTTGGACTTATACTTTGCAGAAACCATCTACAGCAAACAGCTTTTATACATGCTGTATAATACTAACTGTGTTTTGTGAGAGAGCTGGTTGGCTTATACCTTGATACTCAAAGCACAGGCAGTCCAATCTTGAGACTAAACCAGTGATAGATGCAGACTTGTCTGATGCATTTACTAAAACTGTAATGATTAAATTGTCTTTTTGTTTTTTTGTTGTTCAGACTTGAACGTGAAATGTTTTTTCATCTAATGTTCTTTCTTTTTGCAAAACGAAGGCAAAAGGTCAGATAAATAAAACTGTGCTTTATACTTTGTGGGGTATGTGGGGAAACTGGATCCAAGCAATTTAAAGAAACATTCACTGTGAAGCCCCAGAATAGTGCTGCTGCTGCTGCTGTTGTTGTTTCTATTCTTCTATCATATTCACATTCTGAGCTCTGGACTAGTGGGTGGAGAGTGTGTGTCTATGAACATGCACATACATGCATAAATATCTGTGTGCATACACACACATGCATAGTGTTGATTACAATTGCATCTTTGTTGGCCATGCCTCATGGATTGTGTGTGTCTATGTGTTAACGAGCAGACACTGAGGAGGTCATTGTTAGCCTAAGTCCAACAAGGACCCACAAAGTTGACCTTTTGATTGCCTCTAGAATTACTAGGCCTCATGATTCAGTTGGTGCATATGTTGCTCTGCACAGTGCACACACACACATGCTTCACTTTAGTCGAAGTACATGGTTGTCATTGGGTTAAGAATATTTTCCAGCCTCTTGGGCTTGTGAAGATTGTTAAACTCACAAAAAAAAAAATAGTGGAAAAACTATCATAAAGCAAAAACATGGCAGTTTAAAGAGACTGATAGGCAAGATAGAGGGGACAGTGGATGGAATGCAGGTGATGCAGTTGAGCCCTTATTATTTTCCTGTTAACTAACACTTTCACAATGATAGTTAACAGGAAAATAATAACCAGACAAGTAAACACTTTCACAATGATTACTTGTCTGGTCTTTCCTGGTGGAATTTTAATGTTTTCTTACTCACTGTTTCTGTTTTCTATGTTTGCTCACACCAGAAAAGGCCATTCAAGTGTTTTGTGTCCCTATATAGCAAGTGATTAAACTAAGATAAGCTAAAAATGTGTATGTAATGTTTTCCCCCAGTGTTAATTAATTAATCTTTAATTATTTGTAGTCAAATTCTAACATGTACTCTTTTTAAATGTTGACTTTATGAGACCAGTATTCAACAACACCTTAATTTAGCATTTCTTCTGTGATAATGTAGGTTCAAGGGAGTGTGTGTCCATGAGGGCCAGCTTCACGCTCTGACTGAGGTAGGGGATCACTTACAGACACACAGTTTTCACATTCACATTTTTCTGTACAAGCTACTGATATATTAGCACAAATGAAAGGTCGTACACTGGTGTGATTACAGTATGTCTTGTGCCTGTGTAAGAATGTGAGCACAGAGACCCATGTTGTTCACCTGAAAATAGCAGGAACATATACAAGTGTGTTTTTGCATACCGGTATGTTCCTCCTATTTTCAAGAACGACATGTCATCCATAAACGCAACACAGCTCAGCAGCCTATAATTACAGAAATCTAGAAGATCTGAATGTTTTAGGTATACACAACACTTAGGCTATGTGTGTGGGAGAGGGGAGGGTGGAATTTGATACAGGCAGCTCATAAAAGTCTCCACAGATGCTTAATGTTAGAGCACACACCATTAGGCTTACAGTGTGCAATATTATCAGGCTGCACATAGCCTATATTTAACCTGTGTATGTTCATCTGTGTGTGTGTGTTTGTGCTTGTGTGTGTGTGAGAGGGAGGAAGAGAAGGAGAGAGATGACTCTGTGGTTGTGATAATAATTAATTAGTCCCAGAAAGTGCTTGATAAGCAGTTAATGTACATAGCTCCTTAATGAGAAAGCTAGTTGAACTGAAGGTCCAGTCTAATCCTTTTCATTTGGAAGAGCAAGGAGGGGTACAGTACAAACAGTACAGTACAATTTAACCTGAACACATAAGCCGCACAAAAATGCACATTCATACATGTGCATATGTACACTTCAGCAAGTGATTCAAGATACATCCTTTTATTTGAACATACTGGACATGTGGTGGTCAAAAATATACTACGTAAGTGTGGACAAATAGTTTAAAACACAGAATTCACCCCCTCAAAGAATAAACACACTATTAACATTAAAACAAAGAACCTTCCTGAAGCACACACATGTGTTTGATTACACAGTTGTGCTGCACAGTGAATGCGCTTATTGTAGCCTTGACAAAGACAAACACCAGCTTTCTGCAGTTTCATAAGAGAACACATCTTAATATACCAAATTATATATACATACATATATACACACACACACACACAGTCTACAGTAGCTGCAAAGTGATTGTTGTAAATATTTTAACAGATGCTTTAGAATATACAGTGAGGAACAGAAGTATTTGAACACCCTGCGATTTTGCAAGTTCTCCCACTTAGAAATCATGGAGGGGTCTGAAATTCACATTGTAGGTGCATTCCCACTCTGAGAGACAGAATTAAAAAAA